TAGATATTGCCTTGAGAAAATCTTCCCACTTCTATTTTGCATGAATCTCGCGTATAATAGGCACGGTGTGCTCGCGCAGTTCGAGCGCAACTTTGTTGCGCGTGAAACTTGGCGCGAGGCACTACCGTGCCTCTTGATAATCCTGAAGTGTGAGTGCGAGAAACTGTTTTAAGTGAAATATTTACTAATAAGAAAAGTACGTGTCCTACCGCATCCTATGTATAGAATAAAGACAAAATAAAGGAACATATGAAATATTTATTTTTAAATTAACATTAATCTGTTATAAATGTATATTCAGACTTTTAATTTTATGCAAAATTCTTGAGAGACGTATTAGGTCTAATACATCCAATTAATGAGTCTCAAATATTTTTAACTCTAACTCTAATATTAACAAAAACATAAAAAAGGGAAATAAAAAAACTAATAGTTATAATATGAAAATAGAAACAAATTTTACCAACAGTAAGGTAAAACAATAGTATAGTACCAGTACTAAAGTAAAAATAGTACCAGTAGTAAAACAATAAATACAGTGCCTTGTTTATTTATGTAAATTGATCAAAATACAGTTAAAGTTCATCTATAAAATAACGGCACATAAAAAACTAAAATAACATATTTTTATTGTTTTTCTGTTAAAAGATGATGTCTATAAAAATATAAGAAATTTATAAGATATTCACAACATTGTATAATTAAATTTAAATAGTAATTAATTTTAAAAAAATTATATTTGTGCTTGATCATAAATAAATATAGATAAGAGAAAATATATTTCCTAAATAATCTCTTGAAATATTCCACTTTACCTGCACATCTTAATATACAAACAAATTTTTCCCGTGTCAATAGAGAAATTTGTTTGTGTATTAAGATGTGCAGGTAAAGTGGAATATTTCAAGAGAGAGAGATTATAAAACTCGCAACTGTACCCAGCGTAACATTATTCATGCAATATTACTGAAAGCCTCTATAGAATGTAAAAAACTTATCTTGAACTTATAGAAACAAGTTAAAGCCTGTAATATCTTCAGTAATAACAAATATAAATAAGTAAATAATTTATAAGTCTTAGACTGTGTTTTAAAATTTATTCCTATTGAAAACGTAAGATAATTAAATAACATATGTAAACTATACATTTTTAGAACTTGCAGTGAATTTAGAAACACAGCCTTAGAAAGCCACTATTGCACTGGATTTGTTATTCGTTATAACTCGGTTTTGCAACAAATATAACAACTTCTAGCAGTTTTCACCAGAGTGCAGTTGTTTATTTAAAAAGAAGCCCCTATTTCATATTAGCAGTCTATTCTATTACTTGTTTTTATCTTGTAAATTTTTTAAATTATACATATAAACTAATTTACATATTTATCTATTATATTTATAAATTATTTAACTAGTATAAATGTGACTATAATTAATAATTTCTGAATTGTATATAACTTGTTAATTTTGTATTACACAAGTTAAAAGTACAAATAATGATTTCGATTTCGCGATCAAACAACATAATCTATACACAACTTAGTACAATACATATAATATGTATTATTTATATATTTAATATACAGGGTGTCCGACAATTAGTGTAATCTCTCGCAAGTAGGTAGAAGAAGTAAACCTGAGTCGAAAAGTCCTGAACCATGTTTTCCTATTACATATAATAAAGGAGTAATTATTGAAAAAAATCAAGCCAATCAGCGCCGACCTTTAGCCGGGCGCACGTCAGTGAGCCGCGCAGAGCGCTCACGCATACCAGGCGCGTGGTTCACTAACGTGCGTTCGGCTAAAGGTCGGCGCTGATTGGCTTGATTTATTCAATAACTACTTCTTTATTATATGTAATAGAAAAAAATGGTTCAAGACTTTTTTGACTCAGTTTTACTCCTTCTACCTGCCTACGAAATATTTTAAAGTAATTGTCGGACACCCTGTATATGATCGATTAACTGACACGAGGTATTCTGATAACTATTATATTACAGTTTGTTGTAGATGATTATTTAGTAATTAGTAGGAAAAAATAAAAAAATGTTTTATATAACGTGTCAAATACAGCAGATATCTATAGGTATAATACAATTTATATGTTTACTAAAAAAGTAGATGTCTAAATTAATTATACATTATGTATAGATATTAAGTACGTACATTTATGTTTAATGTACGTTATTTATATGTACATTAATACATAAAGTATATCCAACATAAGACACAATAACAAATAATTGTCAATAAGATAGTTTTGTAATAAACAGAAGTTGTTTCTCATTAATCAATATTAACTTCTAAAGATATTTGTTTGAGATTAATCAACGTCGCGTCTTTGAACACATATTTTTTGTTTCTTTGGTATACACGGTGAGTAAATATTCGCGCGCAAATGTTATCTTCTCGTATACATAATAGCACGCGTAACGATAAGTTACTGAAACAAAAACAATGGTCACCCCGAGTATACCTCATCAACTGTTCGTATCGGCGCCGCTACTTGTTCCAAATGTCGTACGCGAAGTTAGTCAAATCTGTAATCGTCGCGAGTTCGTTATCCCGCAATTTTCAATCTAAGGTTCTATATAAGTCTATGGCATAAAATATATTATCTAAAAGAGATCGTCTTTTAGACACGATCACGCATACATTTATATACTTTTATATGTTCTTACAATTTTCTAAACGTGTCACAGTATGCTGTTTAGGTGCGTGAAGAATACTTTGAAGAATTCAAGTTAAACAAAAAATAAATAAGTAAATAAATATAAACAATAAAAATAATTCTTTACTTTCACATAAATTATGTTGCGTAGAATTTCTTGTGTTAAAAGATACGTTAAGAAGAAATAATTTTTTACTATTATATTCTCCTAAAAAAGATTTTAGGTAACACAAGAGACTTTTGCAGTTCCATCCGCTCTTCTTACTTTATACTTTCCTAAAAAAGATACTGCTAGGAGCAAGTTTTATATGTATATATTGTTTAGCTGACTTAATCTGTTAATGTTTTGTTTGCTTAAGACGATCTCTTCTCTTGAGAGCTTTTTTGAAAACTCTCTTTTACATAGAACTTTTTTCGACCACAATGATTTCACGGTTATCACCGCACAGGTTCTGTTTATGTTTGACTTTGATCACGTGATTGCCTATCCGTCAAGAAGAAGTACATGTTGTCTGATAATTATTTAGCTGTTAAAGAGATATTACGAGCGTGTCACGTGAAAAGCAGATGTATAAATATATGTACGTATCGCATTATTTATCTGTTGATTTCATAAAGTTTATCTTGTATACTCCAATATGTGCATTCATCCAATTTGTCATCGTGTTACTGCGCCGACACATGTACAATAACGAAAATGAGAGAAGTATTGATTAAATATTTTAATTGGATTAATCGTATTTTTCTTCTTGATAAAACGGTTGTTACATGTCTGGAACCTTAACCCGTAGGGTCGCATTAGAGATATGATCCAACTGGACAATCTCGTTATTTGCTTATAAAATACGAAAACAAGAGGAATTCATTATATCATTGTTATATTATAGTGAGTAAAAACAAATCATTTAAATACCGAATAAAATATTTCTAATGCAATAAAACTGTTTTAATATAAATTAGAGCTTCAAGTTTTTTAATAGCGGAAAAAAGAGATTTCTTCATCCAACTTATTACTTTGTAACTTTCCTTCTTAATTTATTCAAATAATTGTTTTTTTTTCTAAAATAAGGACAGTGTTATACATTTATACTATTTATACTATACACTTTAAACATACATTTTGAAGCACTATAAATAAAAAAATAACAAAGTTAATCATCTATTAACTATATAAATTTAACAAAGTTAATCATCTATTTTTTGATTTCCATTTAATTAATTTAGTCTAAAGCAAACGCGTGTTTCACTTGCAAAATCGATTATTCACGTTCGCGCTACGTAAATACGGCGTTGCAAGTTTAATCACATCATATAATCAATAGAATATGGTTAATAATCGAATAGTCTACATGACTTTGTCAAGTACCACCATGATCATATGAGAGACGAGAATGCATTATCACGCATATTGTATTGTTGCCACAAGTTGTTGATGATGTTATCGGAGCAAACGGAGCGATGCTCCAAAAATTCATCGGCAAACAGACTTCGGGAAGCCCGATAACAAGTCGGGAGCACATCTCGCAAATTCTCGACAATTTGCGTCGCAAGAGTTCACTCGCGATAACACGCGACGCGCACTTCTCGTTCCCAAGAAGATGCGCTCGCGGCATGACGAGACTCTCAGGCGCCTGCGTGGCTAAGGTGACGTCACTGGTGAACCGGGCAGCTCGTCCACCAGACATTCAGTCTCGCCTCGGCACTCGAAGAGATTGTACATATTGTTTGTCAATCGTTCGAAGTAGTAGTCCGCGACTACTTCATCATTGAAGTTGACGTTCGTTCTGACGATATTGTATAATCGATACTTATCACAAAATTCTCTCATCGGTAAAAAACCAAGAGACATAAGACGTCCAGATTGTGAATTGCGTTGGTCATTCACTTGGAGATATACGGGTCTGATATTGTTACGCAAGACTCGGAACAGCAGATCGAGCAAAGAAGATTGAATGGGAAAACAGCACATTTCAGAGCTGTTAAAGAGGAGAAAATTTTTACAGCAAAAAAAATCATTTTCGTCATCTCGTACAAATCTGAAACAGTTATCCGTGATCTTTGCTTCCGTGATATCGCGCAAAACGCTTTTCTTGTCGGGAACATTGATAAAAACACGTGTCATCCAAACAAATCGCGAATTCGCAAGCTACTCCCGTGTATTTTATAGGAATACGCAAGTGAAAGAGAGGTGAAAGAGAGTCCCGTGATTATTCATATTTGTCCGAAAATTCTATATGATTGATATACCATTCGATTGATCGCCTTTGACTATGAACTCTGCTGTAATTACTACTATGAGAGGATGAGTTGTTCGGTGAAGATTTCTTGTGGTAAGAGCTGGAGCGGCTCGCAACGCGGGATTAACTCTTCGTCGGAGGAGAATTCGTGTCCTTCGAATGCCGTGTCCTCCGGTTGCATCGACCTACAACAGGCCACCCAGTCGATTGCAACTTCAACGTCATTAAGCTCGACCACAACTAACACCGCTGCTACTACCGCTATTGTCAGTGTAGCTCTTAACAACCCGGTGATTTCTACAACCAACAGCACTGTCACCACCACGATCCTCACCACCAGCATCAGCGTTGTTCAAACACCAACCGCTGGTAATCAGAGGATTGTTCCACCACGCCCTGTCAAGTCAATTGCCACCAAGAAAGGGGAAGACACCACGAAGCTGCTCAAGTACATCGATGATAACGTCATCGGCAAGAACGGCACGTTCTTTGGGCCATTCGGTCGCAGGAAAGGTCAGTGATCAATATAGTAGTAGTTGTACTCAGTCACCCCTTCTCACTCGCCGTGCTTCTCCGCGAGCCTCCCCACCGCGCCACGATGCGTGCATGGCAATTGTACAAAGAAATGAGGTGGCGGTGATCTACTAGTTTGTTAGGATTATCAATATAGCTAAATGTGCTCTTTATTTATGCTTTTTTGCTGTCTCATTGTGAAGTAATATAGTTCTATCTTTTCTGACAAATCACTGGAAAGTTGTGGGATGATTTAACATTCCGATGAGAATTTGAATGCACTCGTTCAAGGTTAAAGATTATTTTTCGGAAATTTTTTTGATATTCTAGAATAACAACATGAGATTGTGTTTAAAATTATCGGGAAACTATATCTATCTGTCAGTTCAGTAAATTATATAATATAATAATTTGAGTCTCTCTCTTTTTCTCTTTCTCTTTCTTTTTCTCTCTTTCTATATATACATATTTACAATTTAATTATTCAATATGAATACTTATTGATGAATACTTATTGATAAAATATTTTTCTACTTGAAGATGTACATAACATAAGTTAATAAAATTATTTTAGAATGTTTGTATCTTGATTGTATAATATATAATTATTGTAGAATATATAATCTCCTCTTTAACATGTATTTCTTTTTTATATAATATTTAAAACAAAAGTAAACTCTTATTTTCTAAACTGGAACAAAAAATATTAACACAGATAAGAACATAATTATCTTACACAATTATTTTACTAAATTGAGATAAACAGGTCAAATTTTAATAAAGGTCAAAAATGATATAATTTCCTGATAGCTTGACATGTGCAAGTAGATTGTAAATATAAAGTCGATGAGATTCGTGTCTCAAGTTATCATGGCGTAAGCTTTTGCGCGCTCAATTGAGATACCTTCCAAGTTCCGTATACGTTCCGTAATTCAATACCATCTCGTAGTAGCACCGTACCGTCTTCCAAAGTATCTTTAATTAAAAGCATAAAAGCCATATATTTTTAGACTTGATCAATCGCTCGCGGAGATTTTTTTTTAAATATTTTGTTTGACACGTATACATAAATCAAATTAATATCTTCATTATTCAATTTCTATCACTTACGCAGAGCAATAGATCATCACGTCAAAATTTCTTTTATGTCAATTAATAAAGAGTTTTAGGCTCTTAAGTTTCAAACTACGCGAGAATTTAAACGGTCACGAGAGCCTTACGCTAGATGTTTGTTGCGGTATAAATATATATATATATACAGAGTGTGTCCCATAATGACCGTCTTACCGCTCGTGGCAAAAAGAAGGGGTTATTCTAAGATGAAAAGTCCTATATACACTTTGGAAGATACGCAATAATTAACGAAATATGAATTAATAAAGATCCGCTAATCAGCGTGCATCCAGCGTAAGGACAGCCCAGTCTGTCGCGCCGTACCGACGGAATACAATAGCGCGGATAGCGCGCTGCCCGAACGCAGCCTATATGCTGTCTATGTATGCACATATTATTCTATTAGTTCCTCCCATTCCGTTGCTGTATATAACACAAAACATTTACAATATATACAATATACGAGTATATATATATATATATATATATATATATATGTATCTACGACAAATGTCATATGTATATATATATATTAATCTAAATTAATATATAAAGATAAATTACACGGCACTCTCGGTACCGTAAATTGTATCTAACAGATAAATATAAAGAAATAATAGTGGAAGATGCGCTAGTTAGGTTAGGTTTCGGATAAAGTTCCGAAAAGCTGAACTCTCTGATTTTGTTGATTGGTATAGTACTATATTTTGGTGCGCTGATTACGAATATGATAATGAAAATTACCGACAAGGCTATTTTCATAGTCAAAACTCGAAAAAACTAAAAAATTATCATGTTTTTTAATATTATTTTGCTAACTATTTACGTAACAAAAAAATGTTTCAAATAAAAGTTGTAGTTCTTGAAAAAATATATCATTTATGTTGTGTGCATTTTTTACATAGAACCACTAGTTTTCGAAAAAATGAGATAATAGAAATATAGGAAAGACTTCCCGGTAAAGTTGCACAGTAGCTACTCTCTCCCTCTTCGATCTTTATGAAACTCTGTATTTTTATGTAATTTTATTTGCTATAAACGAATATAAAAGAATTTTTTGTCGGTCAGACACAATCAATCTGCCATTTTGAAAAAAACAAAAAAGCGTTTTTCATGATTATCCGATAAAAAAGTAGAGGAGAAGAGGCAAAGCCTCTACAGGAGAGCAAAGCCTCCTTGCCTACACACTTACAACACAAACATAAAAAAGTTTTGTTTTTCTGTTACAAAATTTTGGTTTTTTTTTGTGATGTAAGTGTGTAGTGTATGCAAACGTCCGAATCGCTCCAATCCAAATATTACACAGATGAAGCACACATGCTTTGTGACATTAATAATATTGTAGTGACACAAAGTTAAAATTAGGATAGGTTAGGTTAGGTTAGGTTTCTTGCAGGGGGTGCAAGAGGCGCAGCCCTCCTGCCACACATTTACATCACAAACAAAAACCAAAATTTTTTAATATAAAACGAAACTGTTTTATGTTTAACAATTAGTGATAAATAGAGATTACTCTCAGGCTCTATAAGTCTTTTAAACTAATAATATATGAATATAAGGACATAAAGAGCCGTATATATATATATATATATATGCATTCACATATACAATATATTCTCACATTTACGCACAACATTCTGCGAACGGCTCTTCATGTCCTTATATTCATATATTATTAGTTTTTTATGTTTGTGCTGTAAGTGTGTAGGCAAAGAGGCTTTGCTCTCCTGTAGAGGCTTTGCCCATAGAGCTTATACTCATGGAGAGGCTATGGGAGCGCAAGGAGGATCGACAAAGAGAGATATATTTTTCTGTTTCACTTGTGGGCACTTCTTATAGAAGAGAATAACAGAGAGCACGGAGTGGGGGAGCCACAGTTGAGGCAGAATATATCTATCTCTCTGTTGCTCCTCGCGCGGCCCTTTCTATGGTTAGCATATAGGCATGACCTCTTCATTAGTATAAGCTCTATGGCTTTGCCTCTCCCCCTCCACTTTCTCTATAATACTAATTGTAAAAGACGCTTTTTTACATATTTTTCAAGATGGCGGATTAAGTGTGTTTGACCGACAAAAAATTCGTTTACATTCGTTTTTAGCGGATAAAATTACATACAAATATCAACTTTCATAAAGATTAAAGAGAGAGTAGCTACCGTGCAACTTTACCGGGAAGTTTTTTCTATATTCCTATATCCTTATTTTTTTTAGAAAATTAGTGGTTCTATGCAAAAAATGCAACATAAATGATGTATTTTTTCAAGAACTACAACTTTTTTATTTGAAACATTTTTTGTTACATAAATAGTTACCAAAATAATATTAAAAAACGCGATAATTTTTTAGTTGTTTTGAGTTTTGACTTTGGAAATGACCTTGTCGGTAATTTTCACTATCATATTCGTAATCAGCGTACCAAAATATAATAGTATACCAATCGGCAACAAAATCAGAGAGTTCGGCTTTATCTTTAATTTTAAAAAATTTTTATTGCCAAAAAAAACTTTCTTTTATGTCGTTCCGTCAACAAAAAATCTCTTATTATTAAACTTTCTGCTCGACAAATACATACATATATTAGGTTATTAAATACAAAACTTGACATTATGTGTGTACATATACAATTGTCAAATTTCGTACTTAATGACCCAATATTATTCGTGCAACCGCATTGAAAACATTTTGTCAAATTAAAAGTATTTGCATGTTAATTTATTATTTTTATACCATAATAGACAAAGATTTCACACTAAAAATAAGTTCACATAAGATACATAAGTTACGTAAGTAATCTGAAAAAGCTAAAAATATGATATTTCTAAAACAAAAACCTTTGAAAAAAATGAAGTGATTGAATCTAAGCAAAACAAAATTGTCAGATAAACATACTTTGCTGCTAAATATTTAACGGCTTTGTGGAGCTGACCATTAAAATGTCATTGTCCAAGGATCACCTCAAAAGCTATTACCTTGGAAATTATTAGTCAGCGCGATCAATAAAAGCACGCATGAAAAACCTTACAACGGAAACCTTGAACCGCAAAGTATTTGAAGAATCGCCGGTGAAAATGGTTGCGATCAACGACGAATCTATTTGGAACACGATTCACTTATTTGCGCGAGCTCGGTTTCTTCGGACTCATAAATATCAGACTGACGTCATGCATCGCTCAGCGCGATGGCGACCTTAACTCTCTTTTGCGCGTTAGAATTCTCTAACAGAATCAAGTCTGTTGTAAGTTAAAAAAATTTTTATGTTATGACGACAATTGGCATATTTACTTAACTTTAAAGTAGAAGATCGTTTCTTTAAAAATACGAGTACATTTATTCTAAATATATGCTACATTTTTTTGATAGCCTTTATTTTTCTTGGAAGTTTCTAATTCAATAGTTGTCTGTATGTTTTGTATTTATATATTCTGAATGATAACTTTATCTTTTAATTTTGCTTGTACAAAAATTTGTAAAAATTTTTATATTTTCTGCAAAAACTGTAGTGATTACTTCTTCTTTCTCATCGTGTATACAGTAATATAGATAAGCATACATATACATACTTATATGCGATACACGAAATAAGCGTGACCTCATCCTACATACAATTTGTAACCTCTGTTTAAACACACGTGCCAGAAGCGGAAATGCTAAAACTGTCATGCAATTACGCGTTCTGTTTAAATTAAATATGCTGGCTTCTTTACTCTTCGGCACGATCTTGCTCTGTAATTCAATATGATTCTCGATTGCGGACATCATACTTTATTTAAACATAAAAAAGGCTTATATATAAAAAAGGTTTAAAAATGCTTTAATTTATGCTTTGATAAAGAGCAAATATGCAACAGTGTTCGTACATACCAAGTTGATAGTAAACAGTATGGAAGA